ATTCTAGATTGGGGGCACGGCTGTGTGGCTAACATAGAGGTGATTTGTGATAATTTTTGTTGGTTGTGAGACAGGGTCTCACCATGGTAGTCCAGCCTGGGCATGGACTCTTTTGTTTGTTTGGTTGGTTGGTTGGTATGTTGGTTTTTTGTTTTCTAAGAGAGGGTTTCTCTATGTAGCCCTGGCTGTCCTAGAACCCACTCTGTTGACCAAGCTGACCTTGAACTCAGAGATCCACCTGCCTCTGCCTCCCAAATTCTGAGATTAAAGGTGTGTGCCCCACCACCACCTGGACTGGACTAGAACTCTTAATCCTCCTACCTCAGCCTGTCCGGCCCTGGAATTGCAGGGTGTACTACCACACCTGGCACCAGTGGTGAGTTTCAATTAAGGTATCTGCTTTAAATGTGAGGGCCAGGAAAGGCTTGTTTGCGAGAATAACATAGAAGCAGAATTCAAGAGGTAAGTCTGGCAAAAAGCAGGGTTTCCCACATAGAGACAATTGTTCCTAAGCAAGTCTTTACCTTTCACTGGCACAGTCTGTGGTTGGAATAGGACAGGCTAGATTGGGAGGGAGAGGGATGCCTGAAATGAGGCCCAGCAGGGCTGGGGCTGGAGTGCCCAAGCTCCCTCAGGAGGGATCCAGAGCATAATGGAAAGAAGATTGCCCTTCCAAAAGAAGAGACCCCCCCCCCTTAGAAAGGGAAAAAGTAGAAACAGATTAAGATAGAAATAGGGAGTAGGTAAAAAGAGAAGTCAGTAGGTGAAGGTGCTTACTGTCAAAGCTGACACTAGTTTGACCCCTAGAACCTAGTGGCAAAGGGAGAGAACAGACCCCTGTATACACCACCGCATGAATGGACACACACACACACACACACACACACACACAATACTTTTTAAATTTTATTTTAGATGTATTTATAGTATTTTATATGTACAAATGTTTGCTTACGTGCACCACATTCATTTCTGCTGCCCAAAGAGGTCAGAAGACAGTATCAGTTCCCCAGACTGTAGTCCTGGATGGTTGTAAGCCACCATGTGGGTGCTGGGAATTGAACCCGGATCCTCTGAAAGAGCAGCAAGTGCTCTTCATTGCTAAGCGAACTCTCCAAAATAAATGTTATTTTTTAAAAACCTATAGCAAAAAATTTAAAACACTAGGGTTGGGTAGGACATGGTGACAAACCTTTAAGTCCAGCATTTGAGAGGCAGAGGCAGGAAGATCCTATCAGCTTGAGGCCAGACTAGTCTACATGGTGAGTTCAAGGCCAGGGATGATACATAGTGAGACTCTGTCTTAAAGCACCAAAAATAGTGTCAATTTTTAAAAATAGGTTTGAACTGGGCGGTGGTGGCTCATGCCTTTAATCCCAGCACTTAGGAGGCAGAGGCAGAGGCAGGCAGATCTCTGTGAGTTCGAGGCCCGACTAGTCTACAGAGTGAGTTCCAGGATAGCCTCCAAAGCCACAGAGAAACCCTGTCTCGAAAAACAACAACAACAAAAACAAACAAACAAACAAACAAACAAAAAAGGACATGGTAAAGCAGGCTTACAATCCTAGCACTCATAGTAGGCTAAGAAAGGACAATAGTAAGTTTGAGGACAGCCTGTCAGCCTTGGCTACATAGCAAAACCCCATCTTAAAATAATAAAAAGGCTTGTAGCAGACAGAGGGTGTTCCTGTCTCGGAGCTTTTATTTTTCATTGTGAAAGAAGAGGCTCCTAAAAGTAGCTGAGATGCAGGAGAGGCTTCAGATTGAATGCATAAAATCCCAGTCACATTCAGGCAACGGTGGGCATGCCTTTAATCCCAGCACCCAGGAAGCCTGGTCTACAGAGTGAGTTCCAGGACAGCCAGGACTACTCACGGAAACCTGTCTCAATAAATATATAAATAAATAAAATAAACAACAACAAAAATCCCATTTGCTAAGGGAGGGAAGAGAGCTGATTGCTGAGATTTCTGGGAGCACACAGTTGAAGCATACAACTGAAGCATACAGTTGAAGCATACAGTTGACGTTGATGATAAGAGTTTTAGGGTGACAATAGTGTGTCTTCAGGATCAATTTCCTCTGTTGGTCCTCAGCTGCTCAAACACAAATACAGGTAAATGCTGTATCCATCCGAGGTCGGTGCTTAACTGGGGAGGTTGGGTGGGAAGGATAGACAGGGAAGGGGAGCTGAAGAAAGTTCAGGAAAGAATTTCAGTGGAGTCTACACTCTAAGGCAGGGAAGAGGAGACTTTACTAAAGAAGGGTCACAGTTCCCCAGCCAGCTTGTCCTACAGCTGCAGTGAGCCAACCTAGCAACAAACCATAAGGAAAGGAGATCATATCAGAGAGGGGTTTTTGGATTCCGTTATTTCATAGATGTTTCAGTTTCTAGTGATGATAAGGCTCTGGGCACAGCCCTGGGACCAACTCACTTGAGTGGAAGGGAGGACAAGAATGTTAGAAGCAAAAGGGCAAAGGATCTGAAAGAAGAGCTTGCTGGACAGAGCAACGCCCGGTGACGTCATCCCAGCGGCACCGCCACCGCCACTACCGCCACTGCTGGTGGTGACTCTGCTCTTCAGGCTATCCTCCCTGTTTTCTCTCGTTATCCTCTAGCTTCTTGTCTCCACAGAGTAATGCCCCCTCCCCCTTCTCCAATTTCTCACTCCTAGCCGCCTTTAATCCCAGCACTCGGGAGGCAGAGGCAGGCGGATATCTGTGAGTTCGAGACCAGCCTGGTCTCCAGAGCGAGTGCCAGGATAGGCTCCAAAGCTACACAGAGAAACCCTGACTCGAAAAACAAAAAAAAAAAAAAAAAAATTTTCCATAAAAAAAAAAAAAAAAAAAAAAAAAAAAAAAAAAAAAAAAAAATTCTCACTCCTGTCTTTATCCACATTCTCTCTGTCACCACCTTTCCCCTCCATCTCTCCAGTTCTTTTCCTACTAATGTAACTTCTGTGCGTAACAGTCCTGGCACTCTGTAGACGGGCTGGCCTCGAACTCACCGAGATCTGCCAAGCCTCTGCCTCCCGAGTGCTGGGATTAAAGGCGTGAGCCGCCACCACCAGGCTTCTTTACCTTTTTTTCTAGCCACGTGGTCTTTTGGAGCCTATCCTGGCACTCGCTCTGTAGACAGAGATCCGCCTACCTCTGCCTCCGAGTGCTGGGATTAAAGGCATGCGCCACCAAAGCCCTGGGTGAATTTGAGAAGCCAAACCGTTCAGTCGGTGTGATGAGGAGTCTATGAGGGTTGAAATCCTACACGACTATTTTACTGCCCAGTTTTACTGTGCCTCGATTGTAAAATTGGGATAAGAACAATGATTCCTAATTCTCCGAAGGTTCCTGGGAGACTCGTAGGAGTACAAGATGTTCGGAATAATTTCAGGACACGAAACATGCTTGATAAGACAATGGCCATTCGTGTAACCCCTCACCTCCTTCTCTGGCCTCATCTTCATTTCCTCACCTCCACCATTCCTTCAAAGTTTCTTCACACATCTTCAAAGAGAAGATGAAGACTATTTCTGTCTGAAGTCTGGTAGAAGGACAGTCACACAAAAGTCAAGGTGAGCTGGGGCGATGGAGAGAGATTCGGTGGTTAAGAGCACTTGCACCTCTTGCGAGAGGAGCCGAGTTCAGGTCTTAACACTCACAGGATGTTCACAGCCAGCCGCCTGTAACTTCAATTCTAGGGCATCTGGTGCCAGGCACACATGTGGTGCACATATGCACATGAAGGCAAACCACTTATACACATAGAATAAATAGAGCTTAAAATAAAGACCAAGTAAGTAAAAAGATAGAATTGGGCATAGTAATGCATTTCAGTGACCCGAGCACTGGATTTCAATAATTTCAATAGAGGGGTTGGGAGGAACCTGAGTTCTTAAAAAAAAAAAAAAAAAGTGTTTGTAAAGATGTGATGAAAGAATTGCTGTTGGAAGACAGTAGGTACAAATGAATGTTCTCTTCTCTCTGCGGAATAAAGAAAACCCCAACTTGGATCTGGAGCAAAGCAGGGGGCAAGGTATTTCTTCCAGGCATTTGCTGTGCGGGGTTGACAGTAGGTCCTACACAAATACACTTCAGTTAGCTGTCACTTCCTATGGTAGGCTATGTCTGTCCTGGCACGTAGTGGAGGGAAAAATAAGGTGTCCCTGTGTTTCTTCTGCTAGCGTGGGGCAAGTTCCAGCCTCCACAGCCTGTGTGAAGTTAAGAACAGCCCCTCCTCCGGCAGGGCCAGGCTCTCTCAGCATGACCACATGGGGGCAGCAAAGAATAGGAGTGCCTGCCGAGAAGGGTCAGGAGAAACCTAGTGGGCCCCTGGAGAGCGACTGGGGCCCAATGAACTCATCATCACACAAATACTACTTATGGGGAGTTTTTTTCAGGGGGAAAGGTCTTCAGACCGCTGGAGAAAGCTATATTTGTCTTAGAGCAAGAGTCCCCATCCAGCTTATACACCTTTATAAAATTTATAACAGTAAAGTTTTAAATTCTAAATTCAGTGTGTGTGTGTGTTTCTTTTGGTAAAGGTGAAAACAGGACCTTCCCCCAGCTTGTATAATATATATTCTTTTTAAAATTAATTTATTTATTTTACATCCTGACGGCAGGCTCCCCTCGTATTTCCTTGTACATGAGGGCCTGTGGAGGCCAGAGACTGGAGTACAAAGGGAAATTCTGACTTCTTTAGAGAGACATAGATACATGTGTGTGTATGTATGTATGTGTATATGTATGCTGTGATGGTGCACACCTTTGACCCCAGTACCCCAGTACTCAGTAGGCAGAAGCAGGTAGATCTCTGTGAGCTCCAGACTAACCTGGTTTGCATAGTTTCAGGCCAGCCAAAGCTACACAGTGAGATTCCGTCCCCACCCCCAAAATAAAAATCAGAATAGACTCTAATCCTTGCCTGTCATTAGTTAGATATTCTGCTATAACATACGTGACTTTATCCCTTGCCTTCAAAGTAAATTACTGGAGCAGACATGACAGTGCGTGGCTATAATCTCAGCACTTGGGAAGCAGAGGCAAGAGGGTCACAAGTTAGAATAGAGTTAGGTCTTCATTCCTACACTGAAGACCTGACAGGAAGCAGGCTTCTTCTAGGAGTTTGGGAGAGCTGGAAGAGCCTGAGCCTGCACTTAACTCCAAGAAAAGCAGGTCTTGTGGGGAGCTATAAGGTCAGGGACCTCCTGGAAGGGCTCCCTCCCACCTCTGATGGGTGTGGAATTTAGGCTGGAGATGTTAAGAAAGGCTTCCCAGAGTAACTACAGGAAAGGTGGGAGTTAGCCGCCAGAGGAGGGAGGGGAAACAGTTCAGAAAAGCACAGTAGGGGCAGAGAAAACATAGAGGCTCCCATGGTTCCCAAAGAATATCTTTGAACTTCTGTTGTGTCCATCGTCAAAGTTGACTTTCCATCACGGGCCAATGAGTGAGTAGCTTCTGTGAAGTCTCACAGGCCTAGCCCAGGGCCTCCCCAAGGAGATATCGGTCAACACAAGTGTGTTTGTGGTGCGCCTGTGGATGATAGTACTACACAGGTGCAGAGCATTCCTGAAAGTCTCACAGCTTAGTTAGAGGCTGCCCCAGTAAAGTGCGGGACCTGTTTGCTCACCTCCAAGGAGATGGATCGCATCCATGAAAAACAACAAAACCAAACAAAAACAAAAACTACTGCCCCCTCATCTGTTATATTGCCTCCCCCTTTTTTGTGTTGTTTTAGGGGAGACTTCAAGGCTTCCAATGGAGAAAGACAGAGTAGGGGACAGGAATGTGGGGTAGCCTCTCTCTGGAAAAGTAAACTGAAGGCTCAGCATTACACTCCTCCCCAGCACTCTACCTCAGGCACCCCGAGAGGAGGTGGCTCCAGCCCTTGTGGTTCATATCCTACCTCCTAGTAAGAAAGGAGATTTAGTTAACAACTTTCAACTCTTCTAAGAACAAGCAAGAATGGTGGAGGGTGTGGAGAGAGAATACGGAGAGAAAGGGCAAATATAAGTGAACTGGCCACAACGGACAGGACCCAGGGCAGGCTGTAGAGACACAGAGTAAAGATGCAGCTGCTACTCCTCCTTGGGGTGGCCACAAGCAGATGTCTGCATGATGAGACCCAGAAGTCTGTGCGCCTTCTCAGGCCCCATCTCTCCCAAATGCCCACACACTTTCGCTCCTCGGTCCTTCCTCTCTCTAGCTCCCGTGATCCTCAACCCCTTAGAATCCAAACCTACTATACAAGAGATCCTCTATCCAACGAGGCTTGGGCTCCTGATGGGGCATCTCGAGCCCTGGCTGCACTGAGAGAGACCACTCAAAGAATTCAGGGTATCCTAGCAGGTAAGTGAGGGGTCAGGAATTACTACAGAGGGCTGAGGGCAGAAAGGTCTAAGAGAAAGAAAGAGTCCATCACAGAAAATGAATTGAACTCAGATGATGAGGCCAATTGTCCTCTTCCCTTAAGTCATCCCAGCTCAACGACCTCTGCTTCTGAGTCGAGACCCTACACAATACTGCCGTGCCATCTGGGGAGATCCAGACACTCCAAACTACCACAGGTGAGTTTGTCATTGTTAACGTCTTCTTCAAAGACACCTAGAAAATGTCTCCAGCTCACTTCTACATGTATTTTTAACAGGTGTAGCCTCTTGAACCCAGGGTACCAAGGAGAGAGTTGCCTCGGGGCAAAGGTGAGATCTGAAATTCTCTAACCTACTTAGACCTAATACCTCAGCACATAAAAGGAACTGGTCTCGGTTATGTGAAACTGTCCTCTCGTCTTGTTCTTCATTAATAAGAGACATCCCTTAGTCCCTTTCCACCCATGCTTCTCAAATACAGTAGAGCAGAGATCTGGGTGGATAGGGGCACAACTCTGCTCTTTTTGTTTTGTCGAGACAGGGTTTCTCTGCGGCTTTGGAGGCTGTCCTGGAACTAGCTCTTGTAGACCAGGCTGGTCTCGAACTCACAGAGATCCGCCTGCCTCTGCCTCCCGAGTGCTGGGATTAAAGGCGTGCACTGCCCCC